TATATATACATACATACTTTGAAATTACATGCATTGCATTTATAATTCACCAAATAAATTTATTTTCAAATTTACAAGTTTTAATTTATTTCATTCACAACTACTATTCTTCTTTTAATTTTGCATTGTATTTGCATCATATTTGCGTTACTCTCTATTCTAATCTAATTTACTAATCTCTCTAACACACGGGAATATCTGGTGATAATAAAATTATCTTTGCTGTTTAATCATTTTCATAAGGTGTTGGGAAAAATTCTATACAATAAGAAGTGTTTGATCTCTTTTCGAATCAATATCTATAAATTTATCTACATTTTTTTAAGATAGTAACATAAATTATTAGTAGGTATTTGATATTGTAAGTGTGCGTCACATTTATTTCATATTTTTTTATCAATATGCTGTAAGCATTATATACATTAAATTATATATATACATAATATATATAATCTAATGTATATATCTAATATATATAATCTAATGTTTACATGTCAAGATACCTGAACACTACACATGATTACACAAACATTACATTTAATTACCAATCATACGCGTTTAGCAAAAAAAATTTTTATATATTGCCCAAGAGAAACAACATTTTTTTGCTTGTGAAAGACACTACTTTACATGTGCATAGCTTGAAATATGTTTCAAGGTGGTGTCTTGTAAGATTGCAGGAGGTTGCACATTTAAATCTAATTCTATAATTGACAAGTGCCAAGATCTAGTCAATATTAATACCCTGAAGTCTAAAGCTGAAAAGTCTAAAGACAACAAACTAGCTCTTGAGTCAAATGAATCAAATGTTAAACATTTCAAATGCCAAGAAAAGAATGAGAAAAACAATAAAGAAGCCACGGGTGTATGCAACGTACAAAATAAAGAAAAAATAAAAAATAAAACAAACGAAAAATCTGATAGCTTGAAAGATAACGCAAAGGAAACAAAGAATGTTCCGAATGAGAAATCTAAAAAGTATAACGCGAAAGAAGCTAAAGAGAAAAAGAACAAAGAAGATACGAGAAACAAAAACAGGGGAAATAAAGGAAACGATATTAAGGGTAATAAAGAAACTGTAAAGCCATTCGCGAGAAACAAAGAACAATTATCGTCTGATCAGGTACAGCATTTAATGCAATATGTGGATATTTGTTCAATGTATATCAATACAATGTAGACTTGCATTCTTATATATATAAGACTTTACATTAATTCTATTTCTCAACGTATTCATAAAAATATATATTTATTACATTTTTCACTCAAAAGAATGGCATTTTTTTCCTTTGTTTTATTTCATATTTTTATTTTGCATTGAGAATCTTTGCTATGATTATATGCATATTTTTTAATATTATGAATGTAATATATATGCATGTATCATCACCAGTGGCGTAATTTTAATTTTTTGGTTCTTGAGTAAAATAAAAAAAGGGCTCTTTTGTTTGCAAAATTAAAAGAGAATTAATATTTGAATTTAGTAGCTAAAAAGCACTTGTCGCTAAATATAAGTTAAAAATTTTATTTTTATTTAAACATTTGCTTTTGCTTTTTAATGTTGCAACCTTACCTATGTACCTCTACCTTTTAGACGCCGTTTAATAGTGGCGAAGCTATTAATCATTATTAATAAAATGTGTATCGAAATATCTACCACAAGCAATTTTCTGCTTTTTTTTCTTGATAATATTTAGTGATTTTGTGAAAATTTACTTGCATGTTTTTATTAAACTAATAGTTTAATAATTGTTTTTTGCGTTTATTTATGTAAGAGATATGCTCATAAAATTGTACGTATTTTATTTGACCTATTGTATATATGTAATGTATATTTGCAATCCTTAGATTTTTGTAACACGGTGCCGCATTTTTAAAATAGAAACTATAGCATTGTCTTTTTCCTTAACACTTCTACCATAATACGCACAATGTCTATCTCCACATGAGTTTAGCAAGTTTTTCGTATTCAAGATTGTGTATGTGAAGCTGGCGTATTATTTCGTGACAATTCATTAATTATATTGAGAGTTTTGGCTTTATTTTTAATATAGTTCTTATATTATATACTAAATTATTGTCCAATTAATTAAAATTTTTATCTTTTTCGTGAAAATGTGCGCGTGCACAAACGCGCGATTTGATTCTTTGATAATGTACACAGTATTTTACTTGAAAACAATTAAAGATGACAACAAAAATCTTTTTCAACGAAAGTTCTATTACTGTTATTAATGCAAAATCTCAGTGGAGATATGACATATGGTTGTTTTGAGTAATCCATCTATCATGTGCTTAATCTCGGTGGATGCAGGGACAGTCTACGTGCCCAATCTTGCCTGCTGTTGGAAGTTTGGCCAATGAAGTCGCCAAGGCACGGCAGCATATTAAACAATCTTTACAGTGTGTGAGTACTGCACTCCCTTTGCTTTTCACATTTTACTTAATGTAATTTACACATCTGCTTACTAATTTTATTGTTTCATATTTCTATAAACTCATCATTTCTTGCATGATCCTTCATTGCTTCTTAAACATTTTGCAATATAACATCAATATATATTATGTGACTTATAATGAAGAGTTTCATGTTCCTAGAATAATTATGACAAATAAATACATATTCCGCTTTCCATAAAAATATCTGTCATCGATTATAATAACTCTATATTTTGTTAAATGATATAATTTTGGTGAAGAAATCTAAATAGCCAATCAAAAATATTTGTTCAATACTTTTTATTTATTTTTTTCATGAGACATTACATTCCGATTAATTATATTATCAATATATCGCAATGTATTGCACTTGATACATAGTTTCAAGAATACTTTTATATATCAATATTACTGACTTGTATATTTTTTTCAGATGGATGATATCGCAGTACTTGCTCATATCGCAAATCAAGATGTTACACCTCGTGTCGTTAAACTTGAAAAAGAAAATCAAGATCTACGGTTCAGTACGTATATATTATTATACAGTTATCATTATTATACTATTCCAATTTTATTTATAGAAATATTTTCAAAAGATGAGAAGGGGAGGGTACCCATGTATTTAGAAAAGAGATGAGAGAGGGCAGATGAAAGATAGCTAGGTTTTAATTAAAGAATGAAGTGAGAGAGGATAGATATTAGGAGGAGAGAAAATGTGGAAGTGCTAGATCTCGTAATGTTCTAAAAAATAATAAAAACGAATATTATTAATAAATAATAATTAATAATAATTCCAAAGCAGAAATGTTAGTTTGAACATTAAAATACATATATAGCATATATAACATAAAACACACAATTATATTACATTTTATTGGAAATAGTATCTTTATAGTAATAAAGTATAACTAAGATGTATTATGTATTAAGACTTTAAACATTTTTCTGCATAGTTGTTCAAGAATTGAAGAGTTCTGTTGAAAAATTGGTGCAACGTACCAAAAATCTTGAAATATTGGAGCAACGAGTAGAAAGTCTCGAAAGTCGCATGCCTTACATAGCAATTTGTCCCGCAAAACCCGAGGAACCATTGCAAGGATCAGAACAAGACAAACATCAAACGCATAGCAAAGAGAAAGATGATGACGATGAAGATGTTGATCTGTTTGGTTCAGATTCAGAGGTAAGTAAATAAAAATAGCGCGTAAGCAATTTTTTGATTGATCTCCTTATTTAATATATATAAACGCGAATGTATTTTAACAGTTTAATTTATCATGATGCTTACGCAAGTAACTGCACACTATACACATAATATTTTTAAATTAACACGAATGCTAGGATATGTGAATTCTTATGTAAACTTGTATAACGTTTATTTATTAGTTGGTATACACCAGATATTCCCATAATACTGATTCATCTCATATTAGTGTTTTTTTTTTTCAAACATTCATATACATTTAACACACATGTCCTTTGTGAATTATTAATCCGTCCATTTTAATAATTATCACTTTTGATGAAAATTCTTGCTGTATTTGATTCGGTAGGGAGAGGATGTAGAAGCTGCCAAGATTAGGGAAGAGCGGCTCGCCGCATATCAAGCCAAGAAGTCCAAAAGTACGCAACATAAGTTAAAGAATCTCCAAAATATATGCAAATTGTATTATTATTAACTGGTTTATATTTTACAGAACCAACTTTGATAGCTAAATCGAATATCATCCTCGACGTGAAGCCCTGGGATGACGAAACAGACATGAAAGAAATGGAAAACACAGTACGGAAGATCGAGACTGATGGCCTCCTTTGGGGAGCATGTAAGTTTCCACGATATCTCTCGGTATGTAAAATCACGTTCAAAATACTAGAAGTCTAAAGTTTATTTCTTTATAGCTAAACTCGTGCCGCTTGCCTTTGGAATTCACAAGCTACAAATTTCATGCGTCGTAGAAGACGATAAAGTATCAATAGATTGGTTAACAGAACAGATCCAAGGGTTCGAGGATTATGTGCAAAGTGTCGACATTGCGGCTTTTAACAAAGTGTAAAGAAATTAAACAAGCCAACTTATATAAAATGCATAGCGACATAGTTGAGGATAAACTAGATTTGTGTGCCATTTTTGCATTCCATTAGCAGGATATATGACAAAAAATAATCAATATGGATATCCCATTTCCCTCCACCCTCTCCGTTTTATTGAATCAAAAAATATTTTCAGACAATTTGATATAATTACAATCTAAAAGTCATTGTCTGAAAACATGTCAAGTAATATAACAAATTTAGATAAGTAAATCAAGAAAATTCATCGTTAATCTTAATAACATTTTAAATGCCGAAATCAATACTCTTATTTATGTATATTTTTGATCACATTGCTGTTAACTGAAAAAATATGTCGTAAAGAAATTAAATTATCTAATTATTACTTTATTTTCTCGTATTATTCACAAATGCAATATTCAGCCGATATCAAATTTGCAAATATATATCTAGCTACTAACTTTTCTAATCGTATGTAGCATAAGTTAGAATATCGATTATAATTGGGCTTGTTAAAAAGTTTAGTTTGATTTTTCAATGAAATTCATTCATTTTATTAATAAACACATAGTTTTGCATTAAACAATCAAAGCAACTAAATCATTTTCATCAATTTTTGAACCGAACATCAATTGAAGATTATCGTTAAAACGATCAAAGATAAAAAATTTGCATTTTTTTACATAAAATAGACTACTATCGATTAAGTAACGCGATTAATTTACATTATTGATAACAAGCTGCGCTTATTTCAATAGAAAAACTCTGTTCAGGTTTCCCAATATCTCGTAAAGCCACATCTAAGATGGGAAGTCTTACTGGTTTGTCCGTCTCGTATGAGACGACAGTTTTGCTCCAGTGGTCTTTGTGAAACTGTAAATTAATAAATATACAAATTAATTAGAGAATAATACGTTTAAAAATTATTTTATCTTCTTTGTTCGTTTCCCGAGTAGAAGTAGTATGTTCGAGATAAACATGTTTTTTTCAAATTTATAAAGTAAAATTTATTATAAAAATATTCGAACCAATATCTCAAAAATGAAAATGGCTAAAATAGATGAAAGACTGACTTACCTTGCACTCGTCCATTATCACATCGTATCTAAGACGTTGATTGCCCCGCGGTGTTAATTCGATATCGTTCCAAGCCAGAAGCTTCAAGCCTCTTCTAAATGTTTTCCGTTCGTGATCGAAATAAGCCACACTGTTTTTGCAATGATACGTGATGTTCTGTTGCGCGTGTTTTGAGAGCAGTTGCAAGAAACTGATTTGATTGCTGTCCGCCTTATATGTGATCTAAGTACAACATTAAACCCATTTTTCATTATTTATTTAGAAATATATTTTGCATGTCTTTTATTACGATAAGTAATAACCGAAATTAAGATATATGTCGAACCTTTATGCCGCTGTCCATCTCGCTCAACCAAGTTTCCTGTTGATCAGTGATGTGAGTAATCTCTGATGAACGCGAAGGATTCGGTAAAATGCAAGTTGCACGTTTTTCAGCATCGCAATGCACCAAGATTGCATCACGAACATCACCCTCATTAGGATCAATCCAATATTCACCTATCGATTGTATGTAAATTTATATTTTAAATATTGTAGTCTATATCTTATACACAATGATTCTGTCACGAAATTATTTGAACGATTTTATTTAAATTCCAAGTGTACCATTATCGATTATATTCAATCTTTGACAATGACATTTGCAAAAAGTTTGACAGTTCCGACACAAACTCTGTGTGTGTTTAGTGACTCTGCAAACTCACCCGATAATTTATTTGGGTAGGCAACGAATAAATCTCGACAAGTTTTGGCCGGTGAGTTCTTTTCACCGTCTGGCTTCACCAATTTTTCGTACGATGACTTTAGATTTTCGTACACTTTCAATAGCAATTCTCTTCGTTCCTGTTCAGTAATCTCTTTACTAAATATTCTCGGTGGTTCATCGCCGAGTGGGTCTGGTCCTTTAGTTTGGCCTTGTCCTATACGTTGCACGTATGGCGAATATATATAAGATAATTTTCGTACAATTAATACTGATATTTTTAATATATCTTAAAAGACATCAGAATAACATCCAAATAAAAATCCAAATACGTTTGGATAACACGTAGTGATTTTCGGAATCGAAAAGTTTTTTCAACATTTGTAATAAGAATCGATTAAACTGCGCAACATTAGATCATATTTGCACATATACTACAATTAATTAATTACCCATAAGTGCCGCCAAAGACGCGGCATCGTAAGCAAAACCCACATCTCCTGGAGGACCGGGTGGTCCAGGAGGCCCTGGAAGACCTGGTGGTCCGTGACGACCTTCTTCTCCAGACGGACCTCTTGGTCCAGGATTTCCCGCAAGTCCGATAGGTCCTGGATTACCTTCTCGTCCAGGATTACCTCTAATACCAGGCTCTCCGTTTTTACCGGGAGGTCCTGGCAGACCAGGCGTACCCTTTTCGCCGGGTAAGCCGGGAGATCCGGGCAATCCTTGCAAACCGTTGAAACCTCGATGTCCCTTGATTCCCTTCTGTCCCTCTTCTCCGCGATCACCTTTCGCACCTTCGACACCTGGCGGACCAGATTTTCCTCGCGGTCCCTAAAGATGTAATACGTACAGAATTAAATTTATATACAATTTCACAAAAATTTTGTGTTTTTCTTAATATTAATTATACAAAAAATTAATGTAATTTCAAATCGTTTGATATTCAAAAACAAAATAAATTGCCGATTTACCTGCGGACCTTCCACGCCTTGCGGTCCTGTTTCTCCTTTCGGGCCGCGTTCGCCAGCAGGTCCGGCAACTCCCGTGGGTCCAGGTGGTCCCTTTCGAAAAAAAGAAAACGGATAAATTATTGCTAATATTATTTTCAACGTTATTATATTCGTGGAAAGAGAATAGAGAGTACAACGCACTGCTAATCCAGGCGATCCAGACGGACCTGTTGCTCCGGGAACTCCAGGTGGTCCCTTGTCACCCGGTCGGCCTCCTATTCCCGGTAAACCTGCTTTTCCAGTTGGCCCTTCCGGTCCAGTTTCTCCTACGGGACCAGGATGTCCAGGTGGGCCTACTAATCCAGGAGGTCCAGGTGGACCTTCCGCTCCCGGTTTCCCGGTTTGTCCTGTTTCACCCTGTAATAGCGATAAATTATTTTGGTTTATTAATTATTTTACATAGAGTGTAAAAAGTTTCTAACAATTATATAATATAATTAAGTAAAATAGAATACAATAAGAGATATAAGTAATGAACCAAGATGATGAATGGAATTATTTCGATATAATATATTTACAGGTGCTCCGCGTAATCCTCTATTTCCTATGGGACCAGGAGAACCGAGTAAGCCTGGTAAACCTCTCTCGCCAGGCTGACCTTGAGGTCCTTGAGAACCGGCCGGTCCTTCAGGACCTGGAGAGCCATTTTCGCCTTTAACTCCGTCTATCCCAGGCGGACCAGGATTACCGATTGAACCTGGATTTCCTGGACGCCCAGCGTCACCTGTGCTGCCTTTGTCACCGGGCAATCCTGGAGCACCGGATAATCCTATATTCCCCGGTGAGCCCTGCGATATTTTTAATTATTTATTACAATTTTATTCGCAAGCATTAATTATTCAAAATTTGAAAATACAAAGGCTCAAACAATCAAATTAGATACGATAGGGAGCGTGAAGAGCCAAAACGTCGTGCGATAGAATTTGTATTACGTGTAAGCTGTTTTTATAACACAATACAAATTCTATCGCACGGAAATCAAGCGTTTTGGCTCTTTACGCTTCCTATCGTATCTAATTCGATTAATTATTCACATTTGCTCATTAAAATTGACGGACATTAACAACTCACCGCTGGACCAACAGGTCCTGCGATACCAGGTGGTCCCATTAAACCGGGTTCACCTCGTACACCCGTTTCGCCTCTAATACCCTTAGCACCGCTAAGTCCAATAGGTCCGGGTGGTCCAGATTCGCCAGGACTGCCTGCCAATGAGATTCATAAAACTTGTATAAAATAACGCAAATTTATTCATATATGATATTTATCGTGTAAAAGCGCGATAATTGAAATAATCGTGTCAATTTATTAGTTACAAATACAGAAGAATTATTTCTTCATTACCAGGTAGTCCCGGATTTCCTTGTTCTCCTTTTAAACCTGCGTATCCGCGATCACCTTTCACACCCGGAAGTCCGATTAACCCTTGCTGCCCGGGAAAACCTTGTAAGCCCTGTAATCCTGGAGGACCTCTTTCTCCTGGGGAGCCAGAGGCTCCGGGCTCGCCAATAGGACCAGGCGAACCCGGGTCACCACGTTCTGCCGGTTCACCAGGCGGGCCGGGAGGTCCAATTTCTCCCGGCGCACCACGTTCTCCGACGTGTCCTTGTGAATAATTTTTATTAGTATAAAATTGTTAACGATAGTTGGATTGACATTAATATTTTGCAAACTAATTTTAATATTAGATTTTTACGTATAAAGGACATAAGAGATGTTACCTGGTGGGCCTTCAGGGCCAATCGGTCCAAGCGCCCCTCTTTCTCCTTTTTCTCCAGGATCTCCGGGTAATCCTCTTGTGCCAGGAAGACCTAATAATCCCGGTGTACCGAAATTTCCTTTTTCTCCCTTGGATCCTGGTAAGCCCTGAGAAAGAAAACATCATTTAAAGCGACACATTAGAGCGATACATTAGTTATTAAAATTTTGCACATGTTATAAGTAATCGTATGAAGTATTTAGAACCGAATGAAATCTAGCCGATAATTATAAATATCAAGTATTTTAAATAAATGTTTGCAAATTAAAGAGTTTTTGTTCAGATTATCTTAAATTCATATTTAAAAAATAAAAATACGTGTTACAAAATTTTTCATAATTTGTGAAAAATAAATGATTCGATTATAAACTTACATACATATACATATTTCTAATTTTGAAGGCTACAAATCGTGGAACATAAATTATAACAACTTACAATGAGACCATCAGCGCCTTGTGCTCCGGTTTCTCCTCTTAGACCTGTAGCTCCCGCTGGTCCTGTGGGTCCTCTTTCTCCCGGAAATCCTCTCTCACCTCTATTGCCGACTAGTCCCGGTGGGCCGGGCGGTCCTTGTATTCCCGGTTCTCCATCCTTTCCTGGAATGCCCGGATTACCGGCGGCACCTGGAAGACCCTGTGCAAAAATGTACGTTTTATTTTCACAATAAGCCATATCACTATAGTTATTATATTATAGTTTGTATCGTGAGAATGCACAAACAAATATTTTTACGTTACGTACTTGAAAACCTGTGGGCCCGACAGTTCCGGGAGGACCTCGCGCACCTTCGCTTCCCGCAGGTCCTGGTGGACCTTGTGCTCCCGAAGGTCCTTCTTTACCAATGTCCCCCCTTGGACCGGGCGGACCCGAACTGCCTGGTTCACCGTCTTTCCCAGGTTCTCCCTAACGCAATATCAAATTCAAAAGTTATAAAATTAAAATATAATGTTAATGTATGTTAGTGTGTATCCATACATATTAATATTTTTAATACACTTGCAATACTTGTGTACAGTAAAATTTCACATTTACATAGAAAAATACGAAGTATTTCGTAAAAATAAAAATTATTAAGTATGTAATGATAAATTACGGCATATCCTCTCTCTCCTGGTAGTCCTAATGGACCTGGTAGACCTTGCGGTCCAGGCAGACCCTGCTCTCCGGACTTGCCATCTGCACCTGGAATTCCACGTTCGCCAGGATTTCCTGACTTTCCAGGTGCTCCGGGTCTACCCATCAAACCACGAGCACCCTGGAAATTTCAACAGATTTATATAATGTACGATACGTCTAAGGAGATATGATATTGACATATTTCTACAAACCTGTAATCCTGGCGGCCCAGGTCGTCCAGGATCTCCAGTAACACCTTTCGGACCAACAGCTCCCGGAGCGCCGCGATCACCGGATGGTCCTAATTGTTTATAATTGTGATTATATTTATAATTACTACATGTATTGTATGCATATAATGGAAAAAAAAGAAGAATACTGTGACTCAAACAAAATTGTTCGAAAAATGTGATTATTAAAAATATTTCACTATCAAAAATTTATAAATAATAGCTTACCATTTAATTTGTTACAAATCTATATTGCATCATTATAAATTGAAATTTTATCTCTTAACTGTAATCTTGTAAATCTAATCTTATATTTTATATTATTAAAAAAATTAAGTTTTTAATTGTTAGATTTTTTTTAAGGTGAGTAATATAAGATTGAATATTGAAATAATTAAATGCAAAATATTTGTAGCAATAATAATTTTACATATGTTAATATTTTAGTATTTAACAATGCGCTAATCTTGTAATAATACCCTGAAGCCCAACGGGTCCATCCGGTCCAGGAAGACCTCGCGCTCCTGGTGCACCGCGTTCTCCAGGCGGACCTGCGGCGCCGATTGATCCACGCATTCCTCTCTTACCTCTTTTGCCTTCGTTTCCAGGAGGTCCCGGAACTCCACGAGGACCAGGCATTCCTGGATCGCCCTTCACCCCGGCATCGCCTTTAAAACCTCTTTCACCGGCAAGTCCCTGCCAGAATTGACGTTAAGATTTTACACAATCTCAAAAATATTTCTTACGGTTTTCTATATTAATTATGCATACAGGTGCGCCTTTGGCTCCAGGAAGACCAGAATTGCCCGGTGTCCCGGGTTGACCTCGAACACCTGGAAATCCAGGTACACCGGCTGGTCCTATCGCTCCGGTAGTTCCTTTCTCGCCGGAAGCTCCGTCTTTGCCTTGAGGACCCTGCGGACCTGTTTCACCAGGCTGTCCTGGACGACCACTTTCGCCTTTGTTCGAAAATACTCATTAGAAATTAGAACATCTTATCGTATATATCTCACAAATAAATGATAAAATTATCTCACCTCGTGGGCCTTGCAAACCTTGACTTCCCGGTGATCCTTGCGCTCCTTGATCACCTTTAGAACCAGGGCTGCCTGGAAAACCTGGTGGACCCGGCTTACCCGCGGCACCCTACAAATGATATTAATATTATGTTTACAAATAGTAAATTGTATAAATGATATACGTTTCCAAACTTGTGACAGTTTGTAAAGATTTTTTAAGTGTTTCAATCTCTATATCTGGAACTTATGTATAGTTTGAATAATCAATTTACTCACCGATTGCCCAGGCGGTCCAGGAATTCCATCGACACCTCTCAATCCAGGAGGACCTGATGGTCCTTCTCTACCTCTCTCACCACGTGGTCCTGCTGGACCCTGCGTCAAAATTTGTGCCAACAATAATCATATTTGTGCAGCAAAATGTTTTACAATCTCTGTTTCTTTAACAACAATTTTTAGATTATTCACATACCATCGGTCCTATCGGCCCCATTGGTCCAGGTGCTCCTACAGATCCTTTTTCACCAGAAGCTCCTTGCTCACCTTTTGCTCCGTCTAGACCCGGAAAACCACGATGACCTTTTATTCCAGGAAATCCAGGCAATCCTGGAAGACCGCGTTGTCCCACAGGACCAGGTGGTCCCGGCGATCCTGTCTCGCCGTCTTCTCCACTGATACCCTATTGTTAAAAACGTGTATAAAAAAGTTTAAATTAAATCCAGTTTAAATTATTATTACAAACACATACGTAATTTATCAAGTTAAATAAAGAAAAAGTAGTATATTGACTCTAGAAAAATAATTTTATCTGTATTATCTATATTTTTCCACGGCTGATCACTATTATTTCCTTACGTCGAAAGCTATTATTATAATCTTACATCTTTTCCGGGCAGTCCTGCTAAACCTCTAGGACCTGGCTCACCAGAGGGACCTGGAGACCCCGGTTCACCTGGTTCACCGCGTATACCTTGAAAACCTTGAGGACCAGAAGCTCCGGGTGGACCTAAAACAGTTCAATTTAATTGTATTTTTCGATCAAATTCATTGAAACAATTTTTGTTTGGATAAAATCGTAAATCATTATTTGATAAAATTATTATAAAACAATTATCGTATACCTGGTGAACCTCGTGGACCTACTGGTCCTACTTGTGCTTGAATGTAAGAAAATGCGTCTGGTCCATACAACGATGCAGCTGCGCCCGTGGGACCTTTATCTTGGTTCGCTTGAGACAGAGCTAATTGTCGATAGTATAAAGATACCTGTTGAATTTTTTATCGATATTTGTAATTATATTGATAAATTATTGGGTATTAATATAAACTAACAATAAGTATTATAATATGATCTACAGAACATATCGAAATTGTTAATGAAATTATTACATGCGTAAAGAAAGTAATAAAAATAATTTTTAATTATAAAAGAGAAAATTTCTTACGTCAGGTATAGGACCTGGAGGCCCAGGAGGCCCCGGAATTCCAGGACTCCCTGGTTGTCCAGGAAATCCCACATCGCCCTGACGTCCAGCATCTCCAGGTCGACCAGGTTCACCCTTACATGTAAATGTTTCTTCGTTGTAAATTTTGCCAAACATTTTCCCGAAGAATTATGTATATTTTTAGCTTGTCACTTACTCGTGGACCAGGTATAGCCACTGAACTGTACACATTACTTTCACCCGGTAAGATTTCCGTAGGTAAAATCTAATAAGAAAAATTGGCAATCATTGTTTCTAGTAAAATTCAATATTTTAAAAAATTATTCTAATTATTGGTTGTTTTGTACTTACTAAATCCTGTTCGGATGTAGGATTAGTTTGCTCCAAACCTGCAAATTAAATAAATCCTAAATTAAAACATAAAAAATATTTTAACTATCTGTACCTCTTGCTTCCTTTTCAAAAGCGTAATTTTTTAACGAACGTTTTATCTACGTCATTTTTATATAATGTGAAGCGATTAATCCAAAGAATATATTTTGTATAGTATAGAAAATAATATTATATATATACGTAATAATAAGAAATATTTAGATTTATTTATCCCGTACCATGACTGGAAACTCGAGTTGTCACGAGAACTGGTAAATCTGTAGGTGTTTCTGGTTTATGCGAGGACGCTGTACTTTCTATTGTCGATTCGGACCATCCTGTATATAGTAATTACACGATAAAATTTAATTATTGTCTTTATAATATAATTTTTATTATATTAAAATAACATGAAACTTTTTTTTCTTTCTCCCATAAATCGTATGCTTACCCGAAAATCGTGTGCTTGATGGTATCACAGGCGGTGGTAGCGTTGTAGTCTCTAAATAAATAATATCGTATTACATATAAAAAAAAATAAAAAATTGTTTATTGTTAAGGAGCATGGTGTAAAGAATCGACCGCGGTTGTTAGTGTGCGGAAGAAATAAATTTCTTAAATTCGATAAAGAATTATTGGTTTACATAAGGCTAACGTATAAAGATCTCACCAGATCACGGAGATTCAATATGCATAAGTGATATATAATAATCTCTTTACCGAGATATTACCGAGATATTAATAAGAAGTAAAGGAAGGATGAGCAAGAAAAATATCAAATGCCATGTTACGCCGTATTCTTTATATATAATTTGCAAAATCTTAGAGAACCTGTACTTGTTTCGATTAAAAAAAAATTATTATTAATGCCAATTTATTGCAACGATAAATATGCAAATGTAATCTATACACTTGCAATATGTTTTAGGGTATTTAGTATTCGTGAGGAAGTAGAACCGGAAACTGCTTTTAATTGTATTAAATTGCATTCATTGTTAATAGGTTAATTAAATGTTACAAATTGCATTGATCTGATTAGAACAAGCAGTTGATTGCTTTACGTGGCAATAGATGGTCTTAATGAGATTGATTTCCGCCACGAAACTTCCGGTGTTTCGAGACGACTCTCGCGAATGATTTGTTCTCCATTTACAACTAAACTTTCTCAGATTTTCTATAGTTTTTGTAAAACTACATTGCTGTTATAACGACTGAATGAAATAATAATTTTACATGCACATGCACAAAAAGTTAGACAAGTACATCATAAAATTTACAAAGATTAGATTTTGCAGCGTCGTAATATTCGACCTCTTAATAACGTGATATAAGGAATTGAGCAAGTAGCAAGTAGTGTAACAATTTTTGGAATAATGTTTTATGAGAGAAAGTCAAAAGGCGAAGAGACTTCTTTAAAGATTTGACTCCTTAAATGTTCCTTCACTTTTGAACTTGCATCGTATTACATTAATCATCGCTTTTCTGTGTATATAAATAACTTTGTATGTATAAAACGTGATAATTATGATTAATGGTTAATGGTTTATTAATAATTAATAAAAAAATAGAAGAAATATAAAATTGAAAGTTTAAGGTAAACTCTTTTGTTTGTAAGGTACTTTTGTCGCGCGATCAAATTTCTTATCGTACTAATTCACTCAAACTCACCGTTCTTCTCCTCGTAGTCGTAATAATAATCATAATCGTAATCGGTGCCAGGTTGGTGAGCTTGCTGGTCTGCCTGTTCCAGTTTGGACCGTTGTTTTCTCAACCGATTTTTCACGGCGTTCACCTGATTCAGTAGCGATAATAGCAACAGCTGGACCACGAGAAATCTCGTGACCAGCTTTACGGTCCGCCGTCTCATCGAGAGAAATCTCTTTTGCTTTCCGTAAGGGATGGAATGGCGGTACTCGCTAGAGAATGGAGAAAATGCAAATCCTAGGCCCGACTCGCCTCCATCGGGAGGCTGAGGGCGACTAGACTCGTAACAACCGACGTATCATCTATTTAGCAGATGCTCTGCATGATGTAGGGGAGGTCATCATCCTCTGTTTTACGAAGCGATATTCCCGTCGCCTTATTCTCTGACCACCCCCTCTTCTTCATTCTCTTTCTTTGGTAACTAGGCTGAGCTTTTTTCTAACTATAACTAAAAAGAGAAAAGTCTTTCGTTGTTTAGTACGATTGTACTGGCGATAGGTACTGTTAAAAAAATTACCCGCTAAATATATCTTTACAGTCCTCACTAAATATCGTTGTGCCGATTTCATGATGATACAACATGTCAGTATTGGCAGCGTAGAATCATTATTCCGCGTATTGTTAGAAGCGGTACAATGGAGGTCATCACCTCGCGTTAAGGGTTGCACGCAACATGTATCACTTTAAATTTTACGCTCAATGTCTTAAATAAACGCCAATTTTCTATGTTATTGGCGGATATGATGAAGTCTTGAGTTTGAATTTAAATATGTGATATACATTTTGACTTTCTTCCAATAGATAATTGTTGTAAACTGCGATAATTGCGATTCTAGTTCTGCAATTTACATCATTTAATACTAAAGAGATGCAATTCCATAAAACCAAATGTTTTTAAATTAAAAGAAAACCATTTGATTTAAAAATAAATTTTTTTTCTACAAAAACTGAAATATATTAATTTATAGTATATTATTTATTCTCTTTTCTTCTAATTTGAACGCTTGAACTATTCAGCTGTTTTATTTTAGCCGTTTCACACGCATCCTTGCGCTGGATATGTATCTGATTCGTTGAAATGCAAGTTGCAGCGACCTACTTTGCGATGAGCGTTGCGCCTCATTTTTATCAGTTAGCGCCAGAAGCTTCGGGCTCGATACCGAGACGCGGCGGTTTCCACTTAATAAGTTTATTAAACGACAATCATCATTTTGGCCGCATTCCCCAACCGCGTCTTACTTTACAATGTGTTAACTGCAATAGACTGCATTGACCTGCACCTCCTTCGCTCGTTACTAGCAACTATAAATCAGAGTTGCTACTATGTTTAATGCAAACAACTGCAATTGGGACAAAGCAATCGGCACAATTTCGTCTTAGAATTTACACTGACATCCAATCGGACATAATCGACATATAGCAAAAAAAAGTTTTATTAATAAGAACATGTAACAATTTCACGACGGTAAAATAAAATTGACAATATTTTATCGTTATCAATATCATTAAAAATAAAAAATAAAAAAGATGCCAATTTTTTCATTTTGATATTCGGCTAGATAGAATATTTACCCAATAAAATGGAAAATATTTTATTCTCGGTACATTCTGCGTCAGTTTGAAATAAAAATTAAAATATAATTTGTGGTAGGATAGCATACCTTATCAATTTATAAGAGTAGTAACTCTTGTAAGTACATTGGAATGAAAATCAGTAACTTCTCCATATAAATATTGCAATGTTATCGTGATGACTTTTATATCATCCAGTTTCAAGTGAGATTAAATAAAATGAATAGTTTTCAATATTTGTTTTATCTAATGAAGCATTGCCTTCGTCCATAATAAAAAATGCTGACTTATAACTAAAAATAAAAATGCATTACAATAATTATTAATTATTATCCTTGATAACACTCATTTGTGGAAACCAGCAATTTCAAGATAGAGCGTTCATCAAAAGTGAAAACACAGTGAAGCGCAATGACCGTTATGTGATTGACAATGTTAGACAGATTAATAGAGTTAGAATAATCATTATAAATAGAACTTGATATTTTTGAAATATCAATATGACCAAAAACTACTACAGCGCAGTGATGCCAAAAGCGGAACGCAGCTAATAATAGGCATAATCCAGATATAACCAAAATATAATTATGGTGCCAGTATTGAAATAGTGACTATAATTATAATTACATAATAAAACAATATTATTTCCGAATTACAAAACTGCACTTACATTTCGCTTACATAATTTATTATCTTTTTGCAATTCAAAGCAGTGTATGTATGTATATATATGATAAATTAAAATACAATATAATACATTACGTTTAATGAGAGTTAATAAATAATAATTACTCTACTAATTATTAAAATATGAGGAATTATTACTTAGATGTGTGCATTTTTTGTTACAATATAAATCATTTACATCAAAATTTCATTTACAAGTTTTTATTAAAGCCAAATTTTAAATTATTTACATTAGTCACAGAATAAAGAATATGAATAAACTCACAATCAGCTGAGAAATTATAATAATATTTAATATTTTTCAGATTAATATTTATTTTCCTCCCGAAATAAACGTAAAGATATATAAAAAAAAAAGAAAAGAATAATTATTTGTTTTAAATAATGTCTAGTTAATGTGCGTTGGATGTGTAGTCAAGTCGAGTGTTAATACTTTGCTTTCCAAACATTCACCCACCTGAAATTAAAAGAAAAGATATAGTGAACTTCAATATTAACAAAATTATATAATAATGCAATCTACAATTAAATATTTTACTTACATCCGGACAAATTCCAATAAGTGCATCCGCATGTGAGTAAAATTCCTCTTTCAATGATATAACGATTGTTTGCAGAGAGCTCGTTTTATCGCGAATGTAACTTGCCACTTTTCCTATATTAGTATTATCGAGAGCTGCGTCAATTTCATCCAAGACGAAAAATGGGGCTGGTTGGAAGCTGACAGGAACAGATAATGAGTATTAAATATCTGTTATATTCATATTGTACAAATGAATAATTTGTTTTTGTATTTATATTAACCTAACCTATGAATTGCGAATAACAAAGCTAATGCAGCAACGGTCTTTTCTCCACCAGATAAATTGGACATTGGTTGAAATCGTTTGCCTGGAGCCACGCAATTATAATTAATGCCGTCCAAGTAGGGTTCTTCGGGATTTTCTGGTCCAAGAAATGCCTGAGCAGATTGATTTTTCGCTAGACTCTGAAACAGCCATAAGGTAATGTGAAAATAAATTAATATTAATAAGATATTAATATATATTACATATTTATATAAAACATTAACTTATTTATAAATACAAAAATTATATATAAATACTTCATTAATTAACAAACCTTATAAATAGGATCAATTTCGTTTGCTACATGTTCAAAACATGTCTGGAATCTGTCGTGTCGTTCTTTTTTCACTTTCTCGAACTGAGTTTTTGCTTTCTTCGCCTTCTTACGAGACTGTTCAAATTCTTCATTAGTTTCTTGTAACTTTTCTTTCGCTAAGTATAATTTTTGGATTGCCTACGGAAATGTTTTTACGTTTTTACAATCGTTTATATTTATCAATGTCACACCTATACAATATATAATTTGTTGCAAACCTTCATATTTGGAGCTTGTATGCGCTGTATTGTATTTTGCAAATCGTTGATTATTTTTGTCAACTTGTCAGTAGTTTTTTTAATATCTTCTTCTTCCACATCCTTCAAATTTTCAGGCAGCAGTGCATAATCTATAGTAATCCTTCTTTCGCGTTCGTATTGCTGTTGGGTGCTCACTGAGGAGGAGTCGTTATTTATTTCACTGCCATTTGTTGTGCTTGTTTCACCTGCTATATCTTCCATATTTCCATGTAACATGGGTATGGCGATATCTTCCATCTAAATACATATTTAACAGTTAAATACAATTTAACAATCCAACTATTTGGTATACATCTAATAATAATAATTATTATTATTGTGTGTGGTGTGTCCGTGTGAGTGCGCGCGTTCGCACGTGTGTGTAAGCGAACCTTGCATTGCATCAAGACAGCATGGCGTTCGGCCTTTTTCTGTTCAATCTTTGTTTCAATTCCATTAAGCTGCTTCTGAGCTGCTTGAATGTCCTTCGCGATAGCTCCAACTTCACGTCTAGCTTTACCGATTTCATCTTCTTTTTGATCGACCTCCATTTTTTTAGCATTGCGAGCCGATTTTAATTGCTCCATTTGCTGCTCATCATGATCAATCTCTGCTTTTTGATTAGACTCGGTTTGTCTTGCGGATTCAAGCTTATCCTCTGCATCTTGAACCGCCCGCTCCCATCGCAAAACATTGCCTGTATTATAAACGATGTTAACAGTAACATTCAAAAATATAATGCGGTTGACATACGATATGCAAAATAAAAAAAACTTTATATAGTAAAATTTATGATATATAAAATTTCACAAGAAATATTCGTACAACATACTTTCTGTGTCGCGTTGCTTCTCAAAATCCAACTGATTATAGATACGATTGCATTGATTGTCAAACTCCATTCTTTTCTTTGCTCTTTCCTGTTGCGATCTGGAATAGTAGCAATTATTCAATCTTAGAACAAGCTAAGTGTAAAATAATGCAATAATTATTTAATAATATAATTTTCTCATACCTCAATTCCCTCTCTTCATATTGACGAATATTGGAAACGCCTATCTGTTCACAAAAGCTGGCAAATACATCGTCCTCAACATTGTTCATCTTTTCTTTGATGTTTTGTATTTCTTGGTCTCTTTCGGACATAGTTTTCTCAATAGCAGCTATTGCAGGCTATAGGAAAGGCATAATAAGAGAAGAGTATTAAAATATTTTTTAAAAACATAAGTGCGTACACGTACACACACGCACGCACGCATGCACGCACAACCGCACGATATACATATATATTAAAACTTACACCAAACATGTTTAAGTCGTTTTGTAGACCATCCAATTCCACTTCAAGATCCGCAATTTGCTTTTGCTATGATAAAAATTTTATTAACGTATTGTGTTAATGAGACTATACGTTTCTTAAACAAAACAATGTATTATATACACTCACTGTTGCGGACAAATCGCTCTTGTTGTATTTTAGACGAGTCTCTAAACCACGTATTTGAGATTCAACCGTATTCAATTCGGATTCCTTGCGTGATTTTTTCAAAGATTCTCTTAATTCTTCCGTTAATTTTTCCTGTAAATCAAAATTCAATATTTTATCCTCTTCAAGATTCAATATTTTTTCCTCTTCAAGATATATTTACCTTTTGTGCCTTCAATTGAGACATTTGTTTTTCATCCCATCTCTTCGCCTTCTTTGCAAGATCTAAACTGCCACCGGATATTATACCAGCCTTCTGATAAAAAGTGCCGTCTAATGCGACGCACTATAAATATTTTGCATACATCAAATGTCTTGTTTATTATTACTATTATTACTTTGTTCAAGTAAACGATCATATATATACTTACATCGTATCTAGTTTTCTTGTCCATCTCATATGCTACTTTATTTGCATCTTCTGGTGTCTCGCATACAAGGGCATTGTTAGTTGCAAAGAGGACTGCTCTGTCAATATCCTTCGGAGAGAAATGCAACACATCGTACAGTAATTTTACATTTTTTGGTTCTTGTATGTTGCTGCAAAAAAGTAATATAATCATTATAAAACTTACATAAAATGGCAAGACAAGAGATATAAAATAAAGATGTTGTTCTTGATAAAGCCTATGTATAGTAATAATAGTAATAATGCTCTGATTTAATCTATTTACCGAAGACGTTCTTTTAGTGGCTTAGCTTGTATATAATCGAGTGGGAGAAACGTTTCCGGTTCAAGATACTGCTCCTTCAGATACTGAATACACTGTCTGGCTGTTTTCTCTGTATCTACTACGATAGCCTCCATGTATTTGCCAAGTACTTTCGTAATAGCAACATTATATCGCTTGTGTATCGGCTCGCACATGTTGTACATGCGATCAAACTGATAAAAGGAAATACGAATTATTTCGTTTCTACTTGAACAAAAAACAGCGTGAAGCTGAGATACGCACCACTCCGGGAAACAGACGTTTAAAATTTTCTACAATTTCCGTCTTTTTCTTAGTTCTGGATACTTCATGCTTGTCGACTTTAGCATCACCGAGTTGTTCCGAAATGCTTTCCAACTCGCGCTGTAAATTTTGGATTTTATCCTTCGATGTGCCTACATCAGATTGTAAATCAGCTCTGAGCTTTTTCTGATCCTCCAACGCAGCCTCCGATGTTCTTATATGTTCTTCCAATTTTTCCACTCGCTTGAGAGCCTCATCTCGCATATGACCCTTCTGCTTGTGCTTATTTTCTATCTCGGTTTTCTTCCTGCCCTCATTGTCAAGTCTATCTTGATCCGATTTTTGTTCGCGATTGATCGAATCGAGAAGCTGAAGATATCTAGCAGATTGCTTGCCAGCTTCCTCTTTCAAACGATTGTATTCTCGCACCTAAAATTATTTTATCAATAGGTTACCTTTAATGTTCAATAGCTATATAAATTGTGTTTTAAGATTTTGTAAATATTGCACAAATTGTACACTTTTGTACTGTACCTGTTCATCTTCCAATTGCACGTCTCTTCCTTGCAATTGAGATTGTCCCGCTATACTTGCTTCATAAGCGGCTTTAGCTTCTTCCACCTGTCGCAATTCCTCTTGTAGCTCATGTATATCTTTTTTGTGAGCTTCGTCCGCAATACGCGCCTGAGCCAAAGATTTGCGTGCGGATTCCACTTTCTTCTGCATATGTGCGACGCGTTCTTTGGCCTTGATAAACGTCGGCCTCTTTTTCGTAATCTCCACTTCCACTTCCCTGATATCTTGTTCTATCTTAGCAAGATCTCTGCCTAATTTTGCAGCATCCTTTTTCTTCTCTTTCAGCAACTCCTCAGCCTTCTCTTTCTTTTTTTCAATTTTCTCAATTTCATGTTGTTTCTTCTTTTGCGAAACTTCAAAATTTTCAGTGCTCTTCTCATTATGAAATAACCGAAATAGTTGCAACTCTACTTGTTTTTCGACCTAAATAAAAAAGTAAATTTCTATGATTAATAATTACAGAAATATATGACATATAACATAAATAACATTACATTGACATTACATGTAATCAAACTTTTTACTTCATATAATAATTAAATCATATAACAATAAAATTAAACAATGTACATATTCTTCCTTTAGACGTTGATATTTTTCAGCTTCCTCTTTTTCTAATTTTGCCTCTTTTCTTTCAGCAGCAATTCCTTTCTTTTTCTGATATGAAAATTGGGTTTCCTCTTCAGCTTTCAACATTTCTGTTCTTAATCTAAAATATCATTTATATTATATATAAACATGCTAATAATTTTGAGTTTGTGCAATGCCACTTGGAGATTTACCTTTCATATTCTGCTTTTAATGCACCGGAATTACTGATCTCCTCAAATAAAGCAGTGCGTTCCTTTGGATTTTTCATAGCTATAGATTCTACAGCACCTTGGAATACTAAAAAATTTTTTGCTTTAACATTAATACCAAGCTGCTCCAATTCATTAAGATATACTTGACTGGTAACAACCTGATGAAAAAATTATTTTAAATATCATCAGATTATATATATATGCAATTAAATAAATACCCAATTATAAAACTTACATTATTGTTTATTCTGTGCTCAGAAGAAGAACCTTGAACTGAACGCATGAAACTTTTCTCTGTTCCATCTTCTAATTCAAATACAGCTGTCACTGAAGCACTGTGTTCAATAAAAGATGATTTGAATATTTATATAATTCAAAAAGAGATAATATATATTAATAAATATAATTCTACACAGCACTAACATATATATATACACAAAATTATACCTTCGAGCCACTGGCATCCCAATGGATGCACCATGAATGAGTTCGCTAAATCTTTTGACTCGCAAGCTGCTAGTCTTCTCACCCATAACAAAACTAATGGCGTCCATAAAATTAGATTTTCCTACAACATGCAACAAGGACACATTAGATCTTGTAAAGTTTCACACATATATATAAATATGAGAAAACATTATACCTCACATTCAGCGAAAACAATTGAATAATTGACTTTTAGACAATGTAAATATAATCTGACAGATCAAGAATTATAAAGCAATCACAAATATTCAATAATTTTGCTGTTTCAGAACGAACTGTTATGTACGTTAGAGAGGAAAGAGAGAAAGAAAGAGAGAACGCATCCATTGTTGGTACACAGAATGATAACCTACCGGATCCATTGGGGCCAACAACCGCTGTAAAGGACTTCAGGGGTCCGATAATAAGCTTTCCTTTATAAGACTTAAAGTTCTCGACCTCAATATGCTTCAAAAACGCTGGCATCTTCGAAATAATCAAATAAATCACATGAAATCAGAAAGTAGCGTAATTGGCGCCACAAAACCTCCAACGCACACAATCACCGTTGACTCTCTTTAGCAAGGAGTAGAAACAAAAAGAGTGAAAACTCCAAGGAAGCATGCGGAACTGCGATAGTACTGTCATCTGCAGAAAGTTATTTGTAAGTAATTTTAAATTTATTGCACATGAGATTTGACATAAAAATGTAATAATAAAAAAAAGAGGATAAAAAAAGAAAAGACAGATACTGTGCCTCAAAAAAAAATAGATACTTGTATAAGAAGCGGAGATAAAAAGAACATATTTATTGCATGTAAGCTCTTTAATCAATGAAACGTCGCGCGCAAGTCGCCATATTGTCCCATACAATTGCATACACTTAAGGTCGGAGCACAGACTCTTACATAAGACATAACGCATAAGGGAATCAATCAATCAGAGTTCTTCATTTCCATCCTCACTTCTCATTCTGCGGATCTCTGATTGGTTGATTTCCTTATGCGTTATGCCTTATGCCTTATGTAAAAGTCTGTGCTGCGGCCTTTATCCGTCAATTATTTTTTAGCTTCTTAATTTCACTCTTAGATGGCACTTGCTCTGTAACTAAAAGAAGCTGTTTATTCGGTATTTTTATTAGGCCATTTTCGATTGGAGAGAGCTCAGTGATCAAAGGAACTGCTCGATCATTTTAGAGAATATTTTTCAATATATTATTTCTGTTAGGGTGCAGTCCCATTGAGCACGGATCGGAATGACTGATCGGATTTCTCACTAAAATTGAGTGTTCCGTTCACGTTCCGTTCCGTAAAAAATTTCTCTACCAGTCCCATGTAGCAAAAACAAAACGGAATGTCGCCTCAATCGCAAGTAAATGTACTTAATTACGTTAATATTTTGTTATTTAAATGTGGTTGAAGCAATTATATACATAATTTCTGCAATTTTCTTGCAAATTACATTGTTATGAGTACTTGAAAATACTGAATTATTAGAGTGAAATATATTTTGTAACTTTACTTCCGTTCCGTTTTTGCTACATGGGACTGGTAGAGAAATTTTTTACGGAACGGAACGGACACATGTGTGAAGAAACGTAAACTATATTTTGTAACAGACAGTTTTATGTTAGACAGTTTTAACCTCAATGCGACTAAAAATATCGTAAATTCATAGAGATGGATGAAAAAACAGTTTTATTAGTCATATTTGGCACTCATTTTGGCTTGTTACTAACCTAACATCGTTCCGGACAATTCCGAATGTTCTAAACAGACAGAAATACGCGTTCCGATCGGAAGAAATAGCAGGATCAAAAATTCACTAGAATTCTGGTGAGAAATTCGATCCGTCATTCCGATCCGTGCTCAATGGGACAGTAGCCAGATTTGGCCCGGTTTTTCGCGCATGCGCGACGCGGCGAACGCAATGAAATGTTTCAGTCTAGTAAAAGGTATACCATATAGTACCCGTTCATTTTAAAAATTATTATTTTCTGAAAAATCAATAAAAA